CATAGCATATTAATGTTAGCTGACAAATCAGAGCCTCTTGAGGGAGCGCTTTCGATGGAATATAAATTGCTTTTATGTTAGCTGAGAAGCAGTGTATAAATAAAGTAAACCATATAAAAAAATCATGATCTTTTACAAATGAAGCATGAGCACACATTGCTTTGCACCCCATAAGCATAACCTAGCCTTAAAATTCACTCTGGACCAGCCGACATACAGTTATTATTTAACTTTAGGGATAACCTATTCAGCTTGCTCAATAAATATCAAGTTTTGATAAAACTTAGAAGAAGTTATACGTTCTGATCCATCCACAAGTTGAACACCCAGTTTGGGCTATATACAAGACTTTTCATTCATTAATCTTCTTTATTGCAATAATTTATGAACAGCTTGTAACAGAATTTTAAAAAAAGTACAAGACCTTCCCTACAAGCCTTTACTAAAACAGAGCACCGCAGTGAATTATATACACTGTGCAGACACCTAAACCAATGTGTTGAGAGAGAAACACTAGAAATAATAAAACAATACAAAAGACAATTGACAATCTACAAAATCCTATTATATCTTTGTCTTAATTGTTTACTTCAACTAACATACAGAGTAACTGCAAGTCACAAATAAATGTGTTTCTGAATAAGCCCCATTAAGCTGACAGAAAATAGCTGATTGCCATCCAGTTTCTCCCCATCTGCTCTCAACACGTGACTCCAATGCTTTGCTGGTTCATAAACACAGCACTTTAAATAAAAAAAAAGATATTTGAATCAAATTTAATTAGAGACTCCAGTGTCCTTGTGACCCAACACAGAACAGGCATTTTCAGAGGATGAATGGATAGTCTGCATATGCTTGCTCTAAACCTATTAATGGAGTGCAATTTGAATCCTTACAATTCCCATCCATAAATGCAAGTCTCCTGCTTTGATATTCTCCTTTTTAGAGAGAAAGAACCTTGTCATAACACACTCCTCCTACCGCACTCATTCATCTTTCTTCGCCTGAGGCTCTAAAACAAATCAGCAAGAACAATACCAGTCAGAAATAATAAATGGGGTAGAGAGCTTTGCTGACTTTGTGTCTGAGTGATTTCATTTCCTAAAACATGGGGCAGGGGTGGTAAAGACATGGCCTAAGAGCAAAAGAGGATTACGATTTATTCTGGTGGGCTTAGTGGTCCAGGACCTCCCACAAGACCCCAGTTCAACCCACCTCCCTTGGTATGGGGTAGTCAATTATAGAATAAATCTGTATTTTTTATTTTTTTTAACCACTCTGTGTCTTGCCTTTCTGTCCTTCCAGCCATGTCTCTACAGTACAAACCCACATTTATTGCTGCACATTTTTCTCTGGATCTTCTTGTGACCTGTGGTTGTCAGTCTGGAAGCATATGGACCCCTGCTTTCTGAGGATAAGAGTCATTCAGCCACCTCAGCCAATCTGCCTTTAAAGCTCCAGAGTTTTTTTTTTTTTTTTTTTTGAAGGCCAGTCTGTCTCAAAGATTGCACATTAATCCCCCAATTATGTTAGTTGCTGGGATTTTTGAGTAGCCCTTTTGCGGCTCTTTGAAGGAATACCGTGGGTTTTAAGTGTGTAAGCTGCATTGGTGGTGTTTGTATATTGTTAATTCTGTTTTTACATGCACATTATTAAAGGAACACTCCACTATTTCTTGGAAATAGGCTCATTTTGAGGTGCCCAAGAGTTGGGGTGCTTTCATATTTCTGGTTTGGTTAATTTTTGGTCCGGACTAAGGGCAACAAATTATACATTAGCATTTTTCTGTCGTTTTTTGGGTCTTTTCACATCACACTGATCGCTTTTGGTCTGAACCAGTTGAAATAAACCAAAATGCTGTCATGTGACAAAATCCACATCACGCACTGGCCAGATGTTATTTTATATTTTATTATAACTTTTTTTATAATTATTTTTAGGGGTTTTCACCTTTTTTGACAGGACAGTAGGGATAATTGACAGGAAGCAAAGAGAGTGGATTGATCGGCATAGAACCTCAAGGCGGAAATTAAACTCGGGTCGCCGTGAACACTGAAGTGCATTTGTCAGTTCACTTTCCACTACGCCATTGGCACAGACTGGCTAGATGTTATTTAATGCATTTCCTAACTGCTTTTCGATTGGTCAGAATTAACGTGCAGGAAAATGCCAATGACACGTCACTTTTTGCGATCGAGAGACTACTGCACAGGCTGATTGTATCCCTAGTCATAGTATACTATATAGTTTGTATCCATCACTTTAGAAAAACTATACATTTTAATAATGAAGCACAGCTGTGGTTGGAAAACAATGATTTATTGCATTGCAAATGGCTATGACGCATCGCAAGTCAGGAGGAAGCATGAATTAATTTAGCTAATCTGCAAACTGCATCAAGATTCAACCGAACTAAATAAGGCAAAAGAGTGTGAAAACACCCTTAAATATTTGTGTTTTACCATTTTTAAGTCCATTCAGCTGATCTTGGGAACTTTTAGCTTAGGTTAAATCAGGCATGTCAACACTCAGTCCTGGAGGGCCGGTGTCCAGGTGAGTTTAGCTCCAGCCCTAATCAAACACACCTGAACCAGCTAATCAAGCTCTTACTAGATATACTAGAAAAATCCTGATAGGTGTGTTGAAGCAAGTTGAAGCTAAACTCAGCTGGACACCGGCCCTCCAGGACAGACTTTGGACACCCTTGGCATTAATCAATAAAATGGATTCGATCAAAAGCATTTTGCACAAAAAAAAATTCTGAATACAAATTCAATATTAGTTTTTTTTTTTCTATTTAAAGCTTGACTCTTAGCTATTACTCTTAATTTCAGGGTTTTTATAGATTTCTTCAAGTCAAATTTAAGACTTTTTAAGAACCTTTCAAGACAAATGTGAGTGAAAATTTATACTAATACAGGGCGAAACATTAAGGATGTTTTCTGATGGCCTAGTTACTTCTGTAAATAGTTTTTGTATTAATACACGATCATGTAAAGGGATGTATTGCTTTAGTTTTATAGGGAATTAGGAGATTTCGCTGTAAAAATTGATAACAGCTCTTGTGATTTGTATATTTTTGCAAAGTAAAAAAAATTGTTCAAAACGCAAAAGTTAAGATTAATTATTGGTTAATTGGGTGTCAGCCCAGGAAAATTAGGAACATTATTAGGAAAATTAAGACACTATTTCGGTAAATTAAAGACCTTTTTAAGCTCTAAAATTGTTTTTGAAAATTTTGACATTGAGTTTACTTAATAATATTAATAATATTAATAACAATAATAATAATAATAATAATAATAATAATAAAGCTATTTTCTAAGTTATTAGGAACTACTTTCATACAGGTATGATATTGAAGAAACTTTACTGCAGTGTTATGGCTGGAATATCTTATTATATATTCTGTGCTTAATTCTTAATAGGTATCCAGTCCTTTGTAACAGTGATCACACAAAAAATATATACACCTACATATACATATACAATTGAAGTCAGAATTATAAGCCCCCTTTTGATTTTGATTTTCATTTTTAAATATTTCATAAATTATGTTTAACAGAGGAATGACATTTTTACAGTATGTCTGATATTTTTTTTCTCTTCTGGAGAAAGTCTTATTTGTTTTATTTCGGCTAGAATAAAAGTAGTTATTAATTTAAAAAAATATATTTTTGGGATAAAATTATTAGCCCCTTTAAGCTATTTTTCTTCCAATAGTCTACAGAACAAACCATCATCATAAAATAACTTAATTAGCCTAATAAAATAACTTAATAGCCTAATTACCCTAACCTGCCTAGTTCACCTTATTAACCTAGTTAAGCCTTTAAATGTCAATTTATTTAAAAATAAATCTGTTATTAGAAATAAGTTTTTAAAACTATTATGCTTAGAAATGTGCAGAAAAATTCTTCCCTCCATTAAACAGAAATTGGGGAAAAAAAATAAACAGGGAAGCTAATAATACAGGGGGGCTAATAATTCTGACTTCAACTATATATATATATATATATATATATATATATATATATATATATATATATATATATATATATATATATATATATATATATATATATATATATATATATATATATATATATATATATATATATATATGTTTGGGGTTGAATGATAGTTACCTCATCATTAACCTGCAGGCTGCATTTGCGCACAGGGCTGCGAGAAAATAAATAAAAGGAGCGGAGCTGCGGCAACATAACGAATAAAAAGAGTAAGGCTATGGTCAAAAAAATAAATGAAAAAAGTGCGACTGTTGAGAGTTCAAGCAGCTAGGGACACCAGCCCTCATGGCCAAAAAACAGACCAGCCCACCAGGAACTCTCCCAGTCCTCCCGATTAGCCAATCCAGGCCTGACTAAAAATGTTGAAATGTTAAACATGAGTGATTTTACTCATGAAATGTTAACACACTCATTGTTTATTCCTTATGCCTATTTTACCAAAACAATGACCATGTTAATTTAATTGCCTCATTGTAACCCATATCTCTTATCTGTAAATAAAAAGGGGTATTCTTTTAAGAAATGCCATGCTCAAGGTTTTACAGCCACTGTCCACCCAAGGCTGCCAGTGCAAGATTACATTCGCCAATGTGAACGCAGATGTCAATGACCAATTGTCTGGCTTTCATCAGTCACCTACTGCACAAAGCCTTCAAAGTCGTCTGATTGTTCCCTCTGTCTAATGGCTAAATATCAAATCATCAGCAAGGCAGGGCACATTATCTGCTGGGTGAATGGCCTCATCAGCTGAACGCTTGTGTTTGAGCCCATCTGAGCTCAGGAGGTGTCTGGAGCTGTGTGAGAGCTGATAAGAACGTGGGGCCATCTGAATGACGGAATGACAAATATTGTCATCGTCTTCAAATGAAGTGGCATCAAAGGTGGATGGGGAGGCGTGGAGGGTTTGGACAGCTGCCTGAATGTGGATAACGCAGGCGATGTTTGGTGATGTGATGTGTGGATACTTACTGGAGAGAGCCTTCTCGTAGTTCTTGCCCATTGCGATGAAATTCCGCAAACAGGGATTGAACTGTTCCATGATGTTCTGCAAGCAAGAGAGAGAGAGAGATTTGATTAGAAGCAAGTTATGTTAATTGTACATGTGCTGTTGGTAGATCTTGTGATTGAAACTAAGGGTTGCCAACATGTACAATAATGCAGCGAGAAATTCTAGGTCGACAGATAGACAGAAAAACAGAAAGAAAGACAGACAGACAGACAGACAGACAGAAAGATATAAGGATAGACAGAACAGAATGATAGAGAAAGGCAGAACGATGGATAGACAAATAGATAAAAGGACAGATGCATAGACAGAACAACAGACAGATGGATAAATGAATAATTATAGATAGAACAAGAGATAGACTGACAGAAAGACAGATAGATGGATAGATACAGACAAAGATAGATAGATAGAGCGGCAGAGATAGAAGAACAGATAAAATGAGACAAAACGACAGGCAGAACGACAGATAGACAAAATAACATAAGCAGACAGAAAGACAGATAGCGATGACAGACACATCCAACCGATAGAGATAAAATGACAAATAGACATACAAAATGACATGGACAAACAGAATGACACACATATACATATATATATATATATATATATATATATATATAAAAAACGACAGATAGACAAGAACGACAAATAGATAGACAGACCAAATGACAGACAGACATAACAGATAGATGGATGAATAGAACGATCAAAAGAATGACAGAGACCGACAGAACAACAGATAGGTAGAATGAAAGATAAACAGATAGACAGGCAGTACAACAGATGGACAGACAGAATTACAGATATATAAAAAGATACGACACATATAGGCAGTACAACTGACAGACAGACAGAACGACTATAGAACAAATTAACAATAGAACGACATATAGACTGACATATCGACAGACAGATGAATGGATAATGACAAAGAGGAAATGACTGATAGATGAATAGAACAACAGATAGAGCAACAGAATGACAAAGAACGACATAGACAGAACGGCAGATAGATGGATAGATAGAATGACAAATAGACAGACAGATGGATAGAAGACAAAGACAGAATGACAGATAGATAGAACAACAGATAGAACGACAGATACACAGAAAGAACAACAAATAGGCTGACAGAATGACAGATAGATATATAGAATGGAAAATTAACAGACAGAATGACATATAGACAGACAGAACGACAGATAGACAGGCAGAAGGACAAATAGAAAGACATAAGGACATATGGACAGACAGAACGACAGAATGACAGACAGACAGACAGCTATATAGATAGATACAGTGAACAAATAAATACAGTGAACATATACTGTAGATGCACTAAATACAGTAGACAGAAAAAAACCGAACAGCAGATAGACAGACAGCAAAGTCTGAAGCGCAGGGCACAAAAGCATTAAGGGCGTATCCGAATCCACTTTTGCCATTTTAAAGACAGAAACATATGATCTGAGCTGCGGCGCATGGTCTAACAGGGCTGAGCTTATTCTCTTAATGAGTTATGGGTGTGTTTAGAGAATAAACCAGGGTCTCATCTCCCATTGCCTTTAAGAGTCAGTTATATCGCGCCATAGTGTATTTGCTATTTACATGGCAGACTTTGTTAGTGAAAAAAATGGAATGCTTCACTAGTGAGAAAATGGCTAAACAGAGCATCTGCAGCGCAAGAATGAGAAAATGAGCCTCCTCCAATAGGCCTTTACTTTAACTTTCATTTTCCCTACTTCGTGGATAAGGAAAATCTGTTGTACGCACAGACATTGGTTAGCCTACATAATTAATATTGTTTGTTAAGCACAACGATTTGTTTCAAAACTATTTATAAATTCAGTTCTACTTTCCAGAAAACAAGTAAATGAGCAATTATAACAAATTTTGGTCAAAAAACCAAACATATATATCCGAACACGCATGCTGTGCCCCATATGGTCAAAAACCTGACAGATGGACAAATCTAAGTTTTTTTTTTTTTTTTTATAAAACAAATATATATATATATATATATATATATATATATATATATATATATATATATATATATATATATATATATATATATATATATATATATATATATATATATATATAAAATAAATACTACTACTACTATTACTACTACTACTACTACTACTACTACTATTACTACTACTACTACTACTACTACTACTAATAATAATAACAACAACAACAACAACAACATTATATATTATAACACTAAAAAAGCCCTCCAAGATGAAGGCATGGTAGCAGTTATATTTATGTAGAAAGTAATATTTCTTAAATATTTTAATCATTTAATTCTTTTTCACATGTAAAGATATTTGCGTATTGCTGTACATCCTGTGTGTTTTAAGCAATGTGTAAGCAAGACACACAACTAACTCACCCTTTGCTGGACTTTAGACGGGGTTTCAGCTGGTCTATTGAACAGTTTATTTTAGTTCCTCAAAATAGTAACGCGCCAACAATACGCCTTAACACACCTCTTTTCTAGACCAAAACACTCATGAGCCCACAAAGTGGATGTGCCATTTAAACAACGTGGCGGAAAACGGGAAACTTAAGATTGCGTTGATCCAAAAATAGCAACACATCGTGGAAACGCGTCTAGCACCAGGTGTATGATAGGGCCCATAATGGCAGATAGATGGATAGATAACAACAGATGGATGGATAGATAAAATGACAGATAGAATGAGAGAGAGACAGGCAGTACGATAGATAGACAGACAGAATGACACACAGATGAATAGATAGAACGACCGACAAGTGGAAACAGAACAACAGCTAGATGGAAAGAATGACAGAACGATAGATAGAAAGACAGACAGAACAATAGATAGACAGAACGACCGACAGACTGACAGATCAATCTATCTATCTATCTATCTATCTATCTATCTATCTATCTATCTATCTATCTATCTATCTATCTATCTATCTATCTATCTATCTATCTATCTATCTCTATTATAGCCAAAAAAGTGTATTTAGATTAAACAGAGCATCAAATCTAGCTCTATTATTAACACAAACTCAACAAAATCAGCAGATACTGCCTGGGGCTAGTAGGAGGCAATGGTAGCGTTTACCCCCTGCTGAAAAAAGCTGTTACATTAATTTCCATATTGATTTACACATGTGCCTTCTTGACCAATTAAGCAACTTGACCAACAGCTTAACACCTAAAACATGACATCCAATGGTCATTTCAACAGTCCATCCATACACGCGCTCCAGCAGATGAAGGATGCAAAAACAGTCCACAGCATCATCCCTCCTTCACACCACCCATCATTCCATGTTGTGTTAAACAGAGTGTGATTATTCTTGTGGGAGGGAAGCAGACACTCATTCTGGGGGTGAGCGGAGAGCTTTGACATTTTGTTCAGGGCTTTGAGACTGTGTTTAAGAGGATGTGAGGAGCTAAAAGAAATAGAAAGTGAGCATATGCTGGGAGTTAATGAACACATTTTGCTCTGAAGTGCCAGTGCGTGATTGGGCTTGTTATACTGCCAGGAAGTGTATACGGAGCACTTTAAGGGACGTCTGAAGTTTCTAGAGGGCATAAACTCAAGCAGGGCAAATTGTCTTGAAGCTCTGTTCTTAGTGCAACCAAAATAAACAGTTTGCCGCCTTGCCATGCTGTAATCCTTCGGTGATGCTCACTCGAGCGGGCATCTGTCATAATACCCTGAGCACCAGCCACTTCCCCTTCAGGGCTTCCTCCAATTAGAGCAGCCAGAGTCTGCCAGGGCCTCAGGGTTAACAAAGTCCTGAAGCTGACAGCACAACACCACCAAACCCTGCTCCTCTAAAATATCTTCCTCTAAAATTCACCACAAGTAATGGCATCCCATGCTATACCCTGTAATTCTTAGAAGGAACATTTTGTCCATCCTTCCACAGCTCAAAAAACAGTCCAAACCAAGCAAGAATTGTGAAGTAAATATCACTACTGGTCAATTCCTGACACTCAGTCCCTGGCAAATGGTGTCAGACTGCTTTTAACATTAGCATTAAGCTATATTCAAGATATTATGATCTCCATGCTTACGATTGCAAAAAGCCTACAGGGAGCAGTCAGAGTTGCTGCCACTAATACAGTGCAAGGAGTTGTGGGTAAAATAAATTCAACAAGAATCAAAGGCTGCGTACAAAATCGCCTAATAATAGTAGGTACTGCATTTGAATTTAAACTTACTCAGCCGTTAGAAAAATACGTTCTTCACAGTATGAATGTGAAAAGTATGAATGGAATGTGGATGTACCACAACTGCCATTTTGTCATGGTCATGTGACCTACCTACTTCAGTTGCGTTGCTTCACTCCCATTCATGAATTCTCTCGAAGGGCATCATAGGAAAGCCAGCATGCATGGGATGCGCACTTAAGAATCTCCCTGGAAGTAGTAAGTTTTCCAGGTACTCATCGCATACTGATTTTTGAATTCTATGAATTCGGACATACTACTCGGCTCGCATACTGATTTAAGCGTACTGTATGATATAGAAGTATGCTGTTTCGGACGCAACCAATGACTACATTCTATAGGGTTAAGGGTATCGATTATTGTTTATTTTTTCTTCGGCTTAGTCTCTATTTTAGAGGTTGCCACAGTGGAATAAAAAACCAACTATTTCAGCATATGTTTTGCACAGCGCATGCCCTTTTAGCCGCAACCCAGTACTAGGAAACACCTACATTTAACTCGCATATAGTGCATGTATTTGAACTGTGGGAAAAAGCGGAGCACCCAGTAGAAACCAACACCAACATGATGAGGACATGCAAACTGCACACAGAAATACCAACTGACCCTGCGACCTTTCTTGTTGCGATGCAACAGTTCTAACCACTGAGCCACCATGCAGCCCCAGGTTGGGGGATTCAACACACTAAAATCGTAACACAATAGAGCAAAGCTGCTATAATCATGGACACATCAAGGAAGCACAGTGTGATTTGTAGAAAATCTTCGAAGGCCAGAGGGCAGTCTTGAAAAAGCAACAAAC